AAGAGGATAAGGAGGGAAAGGGTGCAAGTGAAATAGCAAACAGACTGGTGAAGTTTTGGAAGAAGAGAAGGGATGTGAAGAAAGAGCGTAGAAGCACGTCTAGGAAGAGGGAAGAAAAGGAGAGACTTGTTGCAACTAGTGAGAAGCAAAAGAGGAAGAGTGCGGATTGCAACATGCTTTCTGCTGAAATAAATCACCTATAGTCTCTCCTGAGAGAATTAAAATTAGTTCAGATGGAGAAACTGAGATGTTAATCTAGGCTGGTGGCAGAAGGAGGTGAAGCAGGAGAGAATTAGTGTGTAGTGGAGACTCCGGTTACAAGACGGTTTCTCTTAACATATGCAACAGACTTCTAGCACCGGGAGGAAAAGAGAGAAAACAAGGATCTGGGAAGCAAGTATGTATAATACTTTAAAAGGGAAGAAGACTTACTGATACTGCATTCACCTTTTACAAACATTAAGGCTTTTGAAACATTCACCTGAGTACGGTATTCAGTTGCTGGTTTACAGCGATATATGCATTAGTTACAGGATTAGTTACCTTCTCTCAGTGTATCATTTCAACTTTGAGTATTTACAAAGAAGTAGACTAAGTAAGGTACCTGGGGTATTTTTGTATTTATTCAACTGTTCAGACTATACTTTGGTATTTTTCAGTACATTTTTGAAGAAAATGTGTATGTCCTGACTGTTAATTCTGTAATACGATTCATGAAATGTCTGACGTCTGAAGCTCTAGGGGGAGAGGAGGGAAATTGCTTGCAGATCGCCATGTGCTGCTGTGCTTCCACTTGGGGAATGCATGGCCATAACTATGGGAGTCATGAAATCGTTAATTAAAGACTTCATAGTTGTGTTGCATCCTTTTTTAAAGATTAAATGCAAAATTTTTTTATTCATCTAAAGCTATGCACATGCAGATTTTCAGACAGAGTAAGCAGCCCTGTTTCTCTAGTTAATTACCTCAATAAATAGGAGTGAGCTGCTGGTATTTGAAAATCATGTGTGTGGTAGACAGAGCGAGGAAGAGAATAGTTTTCTGCAGCGTTCTGTTGTTGGCCTATAACGGTATATAATGCACTCAGGTTGAAAGGGTGGTACTGATACTCACGATACCACCATGGCTATAACAGAAGTTTACTGCAATAAAACTAAATATTGCAATAAAATTAAATGTTTGTGTTACCATTACAAAAAAAATTGCAACACCGCTCCATTTTTCCTGTGGTGAAATTACTCTCTGTTTGTATATATGCATATGTGTGTGCATATATAGATATAAGTATGCTTATATACACATAATCTGTGTTCATAAAGACATGTACACACACACATGCATTCTGAATGAATTGTCCTTGCTTCTTGAAAATGGCTAATATTCCCTGGAAGGGGAAATGGAGAGAGGTAGTGATTTTATTGATACTAGTCGATCTCACAAATGAAGATCAATTTTGCAATGAACAGTGTAGACAAACACTGTGGAAATGCTGTTCCTGTCTCTGTCTAAGACAGGAGACAACAGATGGGTATAGGTAGACAGGAGAGCATGGTGGGGAAACTCGACAAGACTCACCAACAGCCTTACGCATTCGCTATGCCAATGCAGTACGTATGTGGTCCGCAGTGGTGACAGTAGTAGTCAGGATTCAGGAAGGGATTTGTCTGAGGATGAACTGGAAGTGAAAGCAGGTGGACAATATTTGGACTAAGAATATATTGCAGGAGATGAGAGCAGAGGCTCCCCAGATCTGAACAGGAGCTTGGTTTGAGAAGAAAGTTAACAGTGGGTGAGTGAAGGGGCTGAATGGTGGTGGCAGGTCCACGGAGGCACCCCAAGAGGGATGGGCAGCCAGAGTGGAAGTACGCAGAGGGATCATGGGGAAGAGAAAAAAAGTTTGCAGATGAGCGGGCCAGGAAAACGGACATAAAAAGCCAAATGTGGGAAGAGACATTACAGAATTAGGGAAATGTAGGGGAGTCATCCTCTCTTTGCCACCTAAGTGAGCAACTCTAACCTATCTGTATTGTTAATAAAGACCAATACTTCCAAAAAGCCTTTTCACTCCTTTTCTCTCTAGTGATTATAGAGAACTTGAAAGATGTCTGGCTTAACCAAGATACCAAACTTTTGGACAGCTCAGTTACATGAAATGAAGGGTCTATTTTCATTACCCTTTCTGTTCTAATGAACATCCTGCATTATTTAGCATTCATACAGTTTTATAGGAAATAGTATTTGATTTTTACTTTTTTTTTTTTACTTCTGAAATTATATACTACATACTCAAAGAAAATACAGTTGCTGCACACAGAAGCAGGAATATCTTGCCATCTAACATTCTCCTCTCT